ACGTAGATCCGTCATCTCTGGAGGTTCAGAGGGACTGGAAATCTCGGCAGATGGTGGTGAAGACACCACATTATCTGCCCACCGAGCCTGAGAATTACAATGTGTTGTTCTCGTAAATGCCAATGGATCAGAAAACTTAACATCCCGTCCGCTTTGTATTTTGTCTTTTTGATTCCTCGTTAAATCACCAAGTGAAGTCGGAAGTTTAGGAAGCCTTGATTGAGATGATCATCAATAAGGTTATCAAATTCATTTTAACGCAATAAGCCACGTACGTATCGTCGTCAAGCAACATCGTGTCTTCCCTTGCTAAAGCACTTGATCTTGTAAATTTTCTGCTTGCACCAGGTGCACTCTTTGAGATAACATGAGAGTAAAAAAATTTGACGTTTGCCTCAATATAGTAAACAGATGAAGCTGTGAAGTTGTACCTGAACACGGCGCTTTCGTTGATATCTATTGTCAAGAAGGCTATTCGACTTTTTAAGTTTAAGTGTTGTGGCTAGTTCATCTTGCTCAGATTTCTTGAAACAAATGTTCTTTGACATAGCATTCATATCAACAAGTCGAGGGACAGTTCGTCTATTGGTATTGCTAGTGCCATTTACATGTCTTCGCTCCCTCATGTTGACTTTTGGTCTTTGAGGTCACATGTTGTCGCGATTTATATATAAACGTACGAATATAGAGCTACATTGTCACTTATCTATCGCTTCTATTACGGTATATGACTCCATAGAACTAACTACAACTTCTATCATGAGACTGTGAATATTCCGACGAAAGAGCACCTTCATTCGAATTGTCTCCCATTGCAGGGACAAAATGATGTAGGACCATCGATGTTGAGCCACACATCAATGCCGAGATCAGTAGTGCGCGTGGAGTGCGTACTTCCTGCCACAGAAATACCATACCAGCCGTAAATCCACCTGCAAACGAATTAAAAAGATCGTTTTTGCCGCGTGCAATCTCTAGACTGCAACTCACACCTGCAAAAATCCCTAAGAAACCTGCGAAGCCGAGCATGTTGCGCTTGCAAAGACCTCCAAATGATTTTGCAAGCTCACGCTTTAAGGAACTGGAATGATTCCAGTTCGCAACTTGTTTTGACCACTCGATAGATGGCATACTGGCCAAAAGATAGGCATCTACGGCAAGTGTCCAGGCAAGACCTGCCCCAAGTCCTCGAAGGGTTAGCAATGCTGTTGTTGACATGCAATCTGGTGGTGAAGTTTTCGGTTTACTTGAATCATTGTGTATTATACGTCGATCGACGAAAGTGAGCGGTTCTTTTGTTGTCAGTATAGGGAGCAAAACGTTCATGCCTAAGGTGGTGGCGATGTTTCTTCGGCTCATTGGTTAAGTGATTTACTCGCTGCGTATTGCTGATGATGCCGCTATTCCTTAAGCACCAAATTACAAGTATTAACCGATTACCGGTATTTAGTACAAATCCTATTATTGTGTATACACACCATACTACTGATGTTCATGGAAGAGTGTACATGAGGGTGATGAGTTTTGAAAAAAGAGAGGCCCGTAGGCTGCTAGCCACACGTAATACGTTTCGTGATAAACAGATATTTCATAACCACACTGATGTATATGCATTTTAAAATTCATAGCAAACTTAAGTACTACAAGCCACTTTAACCCCATTATATACCGCAACCTAGCGAAGTTTGGCCCTCTTGCGCTTTTGCGCAGTAAGTGTGTAGCGCGGTGCAGCTATCGTGAAATATATGAATCGTTCTTCATAACGTAGGACAAATTTCTTATCAGATAAGACTCATAGTCGCCAGTCTTTACAATGTGTTCTAGCATATGCAGCTTTATGATAATCAATTTGTCTCACTCTACGGAGTACGACCGTTCTCATCGATCTCGAAATGTGTATCCCGTGGATCACGACTCACAACCGCTGTTACCTTCCGCGCTTTACTTGAAGCTCTCAACAATATGTTAGCCAATCCCACGACCTGCAATTTATATATCACTGTTTTATGCCCGTGCCAGACATTTCATATCGTTATCACAGCTGAACAATGCCCTACCAAGTATCGACCAAAGAAACTGGGGTGATACCGTGCA